GGTGTGGCCGGCGTGTTGGCAGGAGTGCACATCTGTGGGAAGGAGACACGGGGTCAGGGAAGTCCCCACCTTCTGCCTCCCACCAGGGCGTGGCAGGAGACCCCTCTGCCCCCTTGATGTGGCATGTGAAGCCCCAGACCTGTGCTCTGCTGGCTGTGCTGCCCACGAGTAGCTCTATTTAAAGGTCTGAAGGCTCATGCTGTGGTAAGAGCTCCTGAAAGAGGGTCCAGACAGGACCCCCTGTGCCCAGCCAAGTTGGGGACCCCCTCTGCTCCAAAACCCACTGGTGCCACCCTTCTACCTCCCACTGAGGCGTGGCACAAGACCCCTCTGCCCCCTGATGTGGCATGTGAAGCCCCCAGACCTGTGCTCTGCTGGCTGTGCTGCCCATGAGCAGCTCTGTGTAAGGGTCTGAAGGGCCCAGACAGGACCCCCTGTGCCCAGCCAAGTCAGGGACCCCCTCTGCTCCACAACCCACTGGTGCCATCCTGGGCCTGCAGCTTTCTGGCTCTGCAGGCACAAGGCTCAGGCTCAGCTCCCATCCCCCAGGAGACTGGGCATGCTCCAGCCCTGCTAGGCACTCACTTTACATGCTCCAAATCCCAATTGTCCCAGAGAGTCAAACAAGGCCGCAGCAGCCAGTAAATCCTTAAGACACATCTGCCCAAGCAGATTACAGGGCTGCTGGGGCACGAGAGTTAAGAGACTGAGTCTGGGGACAGCTGGAAGAGAGCAGAGGCAGGCAGCACCCACGTGTGGGTGTTTACACACCTCCAGACACTCTGCAACAGAGTCACGCTCCAGCCATGCTCCAGGAATTGCTCACTCCAGTGAGCACACAAGGACCTGTGTGTGTGGCTGCTGCAGGATGGGAAGCACCATGTGTCTGTGAGTGTGTTTACACAGCTCAGTGCTTCAGGCTCCTCCAGGCTCTCTCTGCCATGCTGAGCTGGTGTGGACCACTGGCTATGCCCAAAACATCCTCCCTCCGACTGTCCCTTTTGGAAGAGCAGCCCCAAACCATGTGCAGGGCTCTGCTGTCCCACTGTCCCACCAGCTGCTCTCCAGGAAAACCTTCCTTGGCAGGCAGCTCTGGCAGTGCCCATCCAGCCCTCCCTGCCTGCACTCCTGGAGCTGGGAAGCAGCGAGCTGGACATGAGCACCAGCCTGAAGCACCTGCCAGCTGGTGCTCTGCCCTGGGAGAGCGCTGGGGAGCTGGGAAAGCACTTACCATCTGATGGTGGTGGCTGTAGGGGATGTTTGTTTCTTGGAAAAAAGCACTGAGAGCAGTCTGAAAGGAAGGGAAAAAAAAAAAGGGAAATATGATGTTACTACCTGCATCCAAACTGGGCACCCACCTCACCCCTGCACACTACCAGACCCCAAAGATGATCCAAACAGGCCCTGGGGGGCCATGAGGGCACAGCTGCTCCTGTCCCCAAGCAGGGACCTGTGCCTGCCATCTGCTCACACCAGGGCAGGTGGTAACCATGTGTATTTGGGACCACCATCCTTGCAAGGAGCAGCTACTGCAGGGGCAGAGCCCAGCAGGTGTTTCACAACTCACCATTCCACTCTGCAACCACCGTGTGCTGGGAAACAAAGGAAACCAAATCCAACCCCAGCAGGAACCAGTTAAAGGCATGTCTTCAACAGAACATGATCACAGTCCCCATATTCCCACCAGGAGATGCCCAGGGCTGCAGCAGGTGCCCACCTCATATGCCAGAACATTTCCAATTCAGTTGCAGACTGAGCATGATGGGGACTGACATTGTTTTGTAGCTTCCACTACAGTAACAGTCTGTAAATATGTCTCAATGCCACAGGCATGTGAGAGGACAAGAAGGGTTGCAGGTAGGGAAGGCCAGGGGAAGGAGATGGTCAGGAGGGCCATTCCAGCCCAGGTCTGGGAGGAGCAGAGGCAGCAGGAGGTCTGGGGGTGCACAGCACTGAGCTGATGCAGGAATGGTAAAAAGGTCTTTACTCAGAGGGTGGGTAGTCCCTGGCACAGGGTGCCCAGAGAGGCTGTGGCTGCCCCATCTGTGAAGTATCCAAGCCCAGGTTAGATGGGGCTTGGAGCAACCTGGGATAGTGGAAGGTGTCCCTGCCCATGGCAGGGGGGGTGGAACAAGATGATCTTTGAGGTCCCTTCCATCCCAAACCATTCTGTGATTCCATGGTGGTGACTCCTGTTCTGTGCCAGGCTTCAACCAAGTCAGGGCTATAAAACAATGGTTTGATTCAGTTGTACATGAGACTTGATGCAGAACTGGTTTGGATTTATTTTTGGGTGAAGGAAAAGCCCCTTCAGTCCTATTCAGGCCTCTCCTCAAGGCCTTCAGGTCTCCACTCTGGGGTGTGAGGTGTGGGGCTGTGGCTGGGCTGCCACTCTATCCTGAACTCTGCTCCCTTCCTGAGAGCCAGGGATTGGAGTCAGCCAAGCTGCCGGGGAAAAAAAGGCTCAAAAGCCCAAAAAAAGTACAGGGAGGCTGTACCAAACCCTCTCCAATGGCAGCAATCACAGTCCTGACACCACCCATGCTCCTCATCCCAGTGTCCACATGCTCTTGTGTCAATCCCAGGGCCAGCATGAATGACAGCAAGTCAGCTCAGCTCACTGATCCAATGGGAAAACTAATTTTGCCCCAAACATCCAGGCTGGCAGGCCCTGGGAAAGCAAAGAGGTTTATGGTTTCCTGACTAAACAGCAGAAAACTATTGGTAGGACCAGGTGGCAGCCAGAGCAATGTCTGCAAACAATGATCCAGACCTGGGTGGGGGAAGCAATTCCTGCTGCAGAGTCTGGCAGCTCCCAGACCACGGGGGGAGTGTGCAATAGCTGGGCTGGCAGGGCTCTTCCCTGCAATAGCTGCATTTAATAACACAGCACCTGAACTCTGCACCCGGCCATGCTGTGAGCTCTGAGCCCTCAGCTCCTGCAGGCAGGACCCAGCAGATCCCAGAGTGGCAATGCAGCAGGAATGCAATGGGGTCTGTGGCCCTGCAGAGAGCTCTGCACAGGACAGCACACAGCTCTGCATTAAGGAAATGTCTGACACAGACACTTCTGCAGCAGTGACACCCCCTGCCATGCTACCCTTTGTCCTGGGTGAGGTTGGACGTCAACACCCCGAGGCCCTATCACTGACAGATCCTGATAAGAGAGGAGCAACACCAAACGGGAAACACAGGCAGAGGTGTGGGCACAGCCAGATACCATAAGCTGATTAAATCTGCTCTGTGCTCCTCTTTTCCAAGTGGCCTCATATCTGGGACTGTGCCACTGGCAGACAGTGGCAGAGAAGGTCCCTGCTGTCCCCCTGAGCTGCCCACCAACCCCTGCCAGTGCTGGGATGAAAGCAGGACTGGGCAGAGGAAGCAGCCCACCAGGGCAGGCCCCTCTGCCTAAAACACACTCTTCCCCTCCATCTGCCCCTTTCCAAGCACAGCAGGAACAGCCCCTGTGCCCAGCACAAAGCCCAGGACCCCCTGTCACCTCCCAAGGGACCTGCAGAGCCCCAGCCTGGTGAGGGAGGGCCCCACGCTCCCCTTGGTGCCACGGGGGCTGGGGACACACACGTAACCAAAGCTCCCGATGCCACCTGCTCTCCAGACAGCGTCACAAGTGCCACCGTGACTGCTGCAACAGCAAAGCCAATTAAGGCTCCTCTGCTGGAGCAGGAGCCCGAGCCCAGCTCAGACCCTGGAGCCAAGGCCCCGCTGCCTGTGTCACCCTGGTGTGCAGGGGAACAGGGCAGCCACGGCCTGGCCACACTCAGGAGGTGACCAGGACACTGTGCCCCCCTCCCAGCATGCAAAACCAGAACCTTCACAGGAGAGGGATCACGCAGGGACCCTGCCAGGGTGCCAAGAGACACCTGTGGTGACTCAGAGAGAGGGTGGCTGGAGGTGTGAGCCCTGCCAGCACAGGGCACCCAGCAGCATGGGCAGCCCTGGCAGCACCCTGTCCTTGAACCACGAGGAAGGGGCTTCATGAAATGTAAATACACCAGAGGAAGTGAAATCCAGCCATAGACACAGCAAGTGAAGCCAGACACCTGCTCCTCTTCTTGTTCCCCACACACAACCTCTCCCTACACTGAACAGAGGCTCTTAGCACCAGGAAAAGGAAGGAATGGGTGGGATTTTTTAGAAGCAGTTTTTTCTCATTCCTTCCCAAATAGCCCCAAGGGCAATGAGCACATAAAGCCAAATAATATCTTTCTACCAATAAAAGAGCTTGATCCACTGCCCAGCCCCATGTGAGACTCTGCAAACTCTGAAATGTCTGCCTGGTAACCTGCTGGGTTCCAGCCATGGAGGAGCTGCTCTCCCTGGCTTCTCCCAAAAAGCCAGGCCCTGGAAGCTGAGTGCCAGCCTTCACCCAGAGACACTCCAAGCTGCTTTCCTGGGCCTGTAAACCTCCCCCTGGGATCAGCCATGGCACTGCTCCAGCTGCTGGAGGGCTGGGCTGGCAGTGCCATTCCAGCTGGCACCCACAGCAGCCATCCCTGGAGGCATGGAAGGGCCCACAGAGCTGCAAGAGCTGCAAATTAAATTGGGCACGAGAGGACAAAGCCTGCCCAGGGTCCCTAGGAAACAGGAGAGCAGTTACAGCGAGTGGGAGAGGCAATCCACACCCTACCCATGAACTGCCCTGTTCCCCAGGGATACATGGGATGAAAAAAAAAGGCTCCTTAATCAAGCCCAAGTATGGGACAGACTCTGATCAGCTCACAGCACAGCCAAAGGTGACTGTATCCCGAATGTTTTCCTGACCTCCGACCCTGCTCACTGTCCTGGATCATGTTCCTTCCGCCCTGGAAAAGCTCTGGGTCTACCAGGGCTGGAAAGACACACACAGAGCAAATCCTCTCTGCAGCCCTCACTTCATCTTCCTACACACAATGGCCCCTGAGCAGCCAGACTCAAAAACAGCACAACCCCAGGGAAGTGGTCCCAGAACACCAACACCCCAAAGCTGTCTGTGCTTCACAGCAGCCTCCCTCTCCCTCCTGCTGCTGACAAACACCCCAGGGGCTCTCACAGGCAGCAAATGGGACACTGGCCCACAAAAGAAAGGTCCTGGGCAGGGCAGATGGATACCAGGAGTGCCCTGGCCAGCACAGAGGCACAGAGCTGGGACAACCCAGCTCCTGCTGTGTGTCACTGTGCCACTAGCTAGCCCGGCTTGCTGCAGAACATCTCTCTGTCCCCGTGGTGGCCTCACAGGCAGGAGCAGAACGCTCAGGTACAAGCAGGCTGATGGCATTCACGGTGCCCCTGGAGGAACGCTGTGACTCCAAGGAGATGTTAATTTATGCTGCCTTCCCTCGTGCTGAACTTGCCTGAACTCCCCCGATTTACACTCACTGCAGATGCACAGCAGCCAGCAAACGGGTGCTGCACTGGAATAACAAAAGGCTCGGGAGTACTCCAGCAGGGAGGTGAGAGCCGGCTGGAGCGCTCGGGAGGTGATCCCTCCCCAGCGTGGCTCCCAGGAGGAGCCGTGCCCAGCGGCCATTTTGCAGAGGGAATTATCTGACCGTTGCACCAAAAGTGAGTGGGAACATGGTAACGGCAGCGTTTGTTTACAGCCCAGCTTCCTCTGAGTCATGTGAGTGCCCAGCCGGCAGGAGACGGCTCTTTCTACTTGTGCAACTCGCCAAACGGTGGCAAAGTTCTGCAAAAAAAAAACCCTTTTGAAAGACACGTTCAAAACTTCTGTCATCCCTCCCCGGCTCTTTTGCGACACGCACGGAGGTGGTGGAAGAGGATCCCGCCTGTCCCAGAGGGCCACAGTCAGGCTGTGTTAGTAAACAAACGCCGCAGCACGTTACACATGCAGCACATCCCACGCCAGCCGTGCTCCCGTTCACCGGGCACGGCGGGGGGATCGCCGGCCGGATCCTCCGCACATCCCTGCGAGCCCACCCGCGCTCCCCGGCCACGCACGGCTCGCTCTGGGATCCTTCCCGGCCTGTGATAATGTGGGAATGCTGTGTCCGCACGGCGATGGACGCCGTCCCTACCGGGTCCGCCCGGCCGCTGCTCCGTTAGGGAACAATCCCGGGACAGCCCCGGCAGGGAGGAGAGATGCTCCGGCCACCGAGAGGAACCAACGGAGCCCGCTGCTCCCCAGCCCGCTGCTCCCCCAGCACTGCACAGACATTTCAATTACCGAGGTGCCATTAGCGTCAAATCCATCAGCTCCAACCTAGGGAGCTGCAGAAGAGAAGGAAAAATCCTATTTAGAAAGCAATTTATTGGCGACGGCCACTGCGTTGTTCTTTGCTCCCTGCACTTCGGCTCCGGGGATCTCGGCAGGAGCTGAGCGCCCCGAAAGGCACCGGGGAGCTCGGCCGGCGCCCCCCGCCCCACGCGCGGCCTTAACCCCTGTCAATGTCACGGAGTATCCTGCCCGCGAGCGAGAGGAAAAGGCGTCCGGAGCCAGGAAAGCTTTGACCTACAAAGTCCCCTCTCCCACGGCTGCCCGAGAGCTCCAACTCCCCGGGGCAGGGCCGCGGGAAAGGCTGCGCCGGGGTTTTCCAGCCCACGGCCACGCGGGAGGGCTGCGGCGGGGGCGGGGGGGAACAGGACGAGGCTTCGGCGGATTCGGCGCTCCCGGCCCGGCCGCGCTCCGGCGTGGGGCCCCGGGAGGCTGCGAGCCCCTCTCCGCGCACCCCCCGCGCAACGTGGCTTCCGATCGCCCGCCCCGCGTGGCGCCCACGCTCCCCCGGGCACCGCCGGGGGCCCGGCCCGCGCCCCGCCGCCGTTACCGAGCGTGTGGGCGGGCGGGGGGACAGCGATGTGTCCGCAGGGCCGGGCTCCGATCCACGCTGCCCGAACCCCCCGCGATGCCCCCGTGCGGGGACCCGCCCGGCGCCGGTACCGGGGCGGCGGCCTCACCTCGAACTGCCAGTGGGCCGCCTGCAGCAGCTGCTTGGCCTGGTCGGCGGCGCATCCGGCCGCCAGCACGAACTGGTTGATCATCACCTGGTGCTTGAGCTCGTCCATGGCCCCGGCCCCGGCCCCCGCCGCCCTCAGGGCGCCGCCAGCACGGCGGGGCCGGCGGCTCACGCCAATGTTTACCGGGCACTGACTCACGGCGCCCGCCCAGCCCCGCCCACGGCCGCCCGGGGCGGGGCGGTGCGGCTCGGCCCGCGCGGCGCCCCTGGGACTTGTAGTTCCTGCTCACCACGGGGCCCGCCGCCCTGCCCCCGCTCGGACCACAACTCCCAGCAGGCCCCGCTCTGTTTGCTGAGCGCTCGGCGCTCGTTGAGTGACGCGTGGGGCCGGCCAACCGCCGCCCGCGGCTTGGTAGTACCTGACCGTATATGGTCAACAACGGCGCGGCCCCCAATGGGAGGGCGGCGGGGGCGGGCCGCGCGCGGGGCGGGGCCGGGGCGGGGCCCCGCGGTCACGTGGGCACGGGCGGTGTTTACAGTCGGCCGCGTGCGGTTTCCTGTTGACGTGAGGGAGCGGTGGGGCCGGGCCCGCCCGGGGCAGCGCTGCAGCCCCTCGGCACCGTAAGCCCCTGCAGGCCCCGCCGGTACCCCCCTGCAGCCTACGACGGAGACCCCTTGGCTCGTAGCTGCCGTGCGGCCCGGGAGGCGGCGGAGCAGCAGCCCCTTGGCCCCCGCGCCCTCCATCCCCGCTAATAAACTGCGGGCGCGTTGCCCATCCCCGCCTGGTCCCGTTTCCCCTCAGCCGCAGCGTGTTCGTGCATCGCTGAGGCGGCAGCGAGGGAAGGTTCTGGAAGGTGCCGGGGGCTCCCGGCGCTGTGAAAGGCTCCTTTGAGAGGCACAGCCGATGGAAGCCCGCGGGCAGGCCGGGCCCGGCAGGGCGGACAATGGGCGTGCTCAGGATAAGCAGGGACAGCCGCGGTTCGGTGGCCGGGGCTAAGAACACCAGGGAAAAGATGAAGGGAACTGCCGGCTCCACCTTTCCTGAGCGGAGGCTCTGGGCTGTTTCCTGCAGTTTGGAGAGGTTTGCCTGGCCGTGAGTGGATTGTTCACTAACGCCTCTGACCCTGGCTGGCATTCTGCTGGTGTTTCTGAGCCTTGAGGATTCAGTGGCTGAAGCTCGGGCAGGTAATGCACTTGATGAGCGGGGTTTGCAGCCTCCACTGTGTGGACAGGAATTGTTCTGGTATTGTCCAAAGCTAATCACCATTGTCCACATGTTCTTTAGTAACCATTCTGGAGTTACACAACCAAGCCTTGGAGAATTTCAGAGCCAAAGGGTTTCCCTTCTCATTCTATATATCTCACTGCCCAAATCCAAGTGAGAGCACAGCTGTGCATGGCAGAGGGACATAGCAAGAGCTGACTGCTCATTTCTTAAAAGGTCAAGACAACCCCCAGAGAGAAGTGACACAGGGAGATTTGTTGCCACCAAGGTGTACATACAGCAGGAAAAACTAATCTCCTGAGTGATTACTTTAATCAGAAAGAGCCAGGCATGTTTAGAAACCTTGCAGTTTGGTGTTTGGAGGGAGAAGGGTTGGGCCTGGCCTGGCAGGGCTTTCGGGAAGGGTTGTAAGCCCTCAGAGCAGGGCAGTGTTTAGGGAGGCAAAGTTCATGGGCTCACCACTCCTTCTGGTGAGCTGTAACTCCGTGTGTGTAGAACAGCCTTGTTGTTTACACGTACCTGACAAACCCAGCGAGTGGCAGTGGGAACAACACTGGTAATAAACCCCAAGCAGCTGGACTTTGGATGAGCTGCTCTGGTGAGCGGGAGCTTTCCAGGGAAACAGATTTCCTTGTTTACATGGGTGTGCTCGTAGCTGCCTTCCCAGCGGACATGTCCAAGGAGGCTCCTGAAGGGCACCTGGCAGTGGGAGGGTGGGTGTCCCTTGGGTCCACCTGCCTCCTCCAGGCTGTAGCTCTATGGGTTCTTCTTCTTCCTGGGGTTCAAAGGATCCCTCATCTTTTCCTGGGTGGGTTTTGCTGAGCTGGAAGGCAGTGCAGGAGCCCTCAGCACCCCTGGGGCTCTGCAGGCTCCTGGTGGCAGGAGCCCTGGCCCAGTTTCACCCAGTTTGATCACTCTCACCCCACACCATGATGGCACTCAGGGTCTCAGGTCCCTTGAACCTTGTGAAAATGTTTTCATCCCTTTCTCACAGAGGATCTCCCATCTTTGTGGCTTTCCTCCCTTGTGGTGCAAGCAGCCCCTGGGGCTGGCAGCACCAATATGAGGACAAATACATCTCAGGGAACCCAGAGGTGAAGGTGCAAAACCCACTGGGGTGACACCACCAGTGTTTGTGAGACTATTGCTGCTTCTTGCAGGTGCCACAGTGCCCTGGACTGGGGGAGTGCTGCTACCTGAGGAGCTGTGGGACCCTGGTGTGAAAAATGCATATTTTATGATTGGCCTTTTGCAAATATTAAAATGAATGTTATATGTGTTGTGTTAGAAAGTAATGCTGTATTAATTCTCTTAAGTAGTGTGTTAAATATAGTTCTGGGTTATAAAAAGATGTTAAAATAGAATTAAAATAGAATTAAAATAGAAACTATGCTATGTAGGATACTTTTTTTAAAGAAAGGACTTGTAGTGAGATAGCAGCCACAGGACACCCGAATCTTTCAGAGAAAAAGAATTTATTGCTCCATTATCAGGAGAAACGAACTTCTTCCCGCCTCAAAGGCGCTGTCAGGATTCAGAGGAAGAAGCTGACACTGACCAGACAGAATCCTGTGTTTGAATGGAATTTATGCATCATGTATGAGGTGTATGAATATGCAACAGGCTGTTGTTTTTTAAGGGTTAATCCTCTGTTAACGTGGGACCTTTTTCGGGCTCAAGCTGCCCAGAAAAAGGTACCCGGATGTCCGTAACCCTTTGTCTCTATTGTCTCATATTGTCCTAATTCAAATTGTCGAAATTATTATTACTCTAATTATATTTCTATTTTTATAACTATTTTATTACTGTTAAACTTTTAAAACTTTAAAAATAACTGATTGGCGTTTTTCACACTGCTGAGGGCTGGCAGGGCAGTGGATGCCCCGAGCCATCCCCTCTCCTTCCCGTGCTGCTGGCAGGGATGGGATGGAGGAGGCCGTGGTGCAATATCCTGCCTTTGTGTCCCACGGGCCGGGCAGGAGCAAAGGAGCTGCTGCCCTCCAGCCCTGCTCGCTCCGGGCCCTGGCATTTGGGCAGGAAGGGCTGAGCCCTGCCCTGGCACAGGGCTGCTATTGTCGCTGTGTGTCACACACGGGCCCTCCGGGACAGATTCCCCAGCAAAGCCCCTGCCCTCCTCTCGGGAGTTTGCAGTTTTTGCAGCCCTGAGATACGTGAAAAGTTTCTGTTTCGGCCCGCACGTTTGAAGAATGAGTCGGAGTTCTTCAGTTCTCGGCCTCAGAGTTGTTTATTGGATCTTAGCTATAAAATTTTTTGTCCTGTCACGCTGAGGTCAGCTCAGCACAACAGACAGAGGCACTCTGCCTGCCCCCGGGGCGGTGTTATCTCTTTATACTACAAACTACGTATAACATGTTAACAATTACTTTCCAATACCTATCACCTATTAATAATAATAATAATAGAAACAGTGAGTTTCTATTCTAAACCAATCCCAAAGTGCCAACATCACAGCAGAAGATGGAGGTAGAGAAGAAGAAAGGCTGGACATGCCCAAGTCCCTCCATCTTGTCTCTAAAACCCCTATTCTAAAAACCCCAAAACCTACTTTTTCACCTAGTGATAATTTTATTATTACACTACTTAAACTTCTGTGGCTTTCAGGTCTTCATATAAAGCTGGAAATTTGCTCCAGGAGTCATAATCAAACCCACACCATTCTTGGATTCCATGATTCTGTCCCATAAAAAGCTCTGGTGCAGCTGCCTCTGGATGCCTCTTTGAGCTGCAGAAGGCAGGATGCTCTCAGTGCTCAGGTTGTGGGAGGAAAGGGAGAGGGACTCTCACCTTCTGTCCATCTGGAAATTCCCCTCCTCACCTGCTTCATGGTGCAAACACTACTCTGCTTTGGCCCCAGTTCTCAGGACAGCACAGGGAGATGGACCCACTGATCCTTGCTGTGCCCAGGCTGCTCCAGCTCAGCCCCAAAAAATCAGCTGCTGGCCTGCAGAGTGAGGCCTTGGGGGTTGTGGATTCACCCTGCTCAGTGTGGGGCTGCTGGTGGCTGTTCACATCACCCCACTGGTGCCAGGGCACTGCACACAGCTTGTTCCTGTGGCTGTGCAGGCAGGGAGCCCTGGACACACTCCGGGCCAGCACACATGGATGGTCACTGTGATGGTCAGCAGACTCCATCCCTGTCCCTGTGAGGATCCTGGGGGACACAGCAGAGAAGTGCCAGGCCCAGTTACTGCCAAGGCACTGCCAGAGCCTGGGGCTTCCCTGTGCCAGGTGCAGGGCATTCATCTCTTGTGGTTGGCCCACAGGACTTGTTGCTCATTCCAGGTTTTTTCCCTGTCCTCCTTCCCAGCCCTGCTGCACAATGGGATGCAGAAGAGCAGGGTCTGCTCCTGTCCTCACCCCCAGCATGTGTTGCCCTGCATCCCGTGCCTCTCCCAGCCCCTCTGGCTGTGTTCGTGTGGCCGTGGCAGCTGCAGGGATAATGACTGTCTGGAAGCACGTTTGGCCTGGGGATTGTTTGTTTATTCCTGCTGGGCGTGTTTTAGTTTGTGTTTACAGCCAGCAAATTCCACCCACTGCCTGCTCACTGCTATCACAGAATCCTCCCGTGCTGGCAGGCTCTGCTCCCTGCTCCATCCTATTTCCCTAAATCCCAGCCCTCTTCCCTGCTCCCAGTTTAAGGGATTTCACATGTGCCACCTCAGCTCCTTCTTGTCTCTCAGTGATTCCCAACTCCACTGCTGGGAATTTGGGTCCCCAGTTCCTTTGCAGTGTGTGTGCAGGGAGGTACTTCCCATCACAGGGAGTGGCTTTTCTCTGTTCTCTGTGCCAGAGGGGACATTGGGACTCAGTCTTGGGACATTGGTGGCTTTTTTGTGCCTCTTCCTCCACGCCATCCTTCTGACTGTTCTGTCCCACATGTGAGGCAGCTTGTGACCATTATTCCCTGTCCTCACATCCAAACCTGAGGATTCTCCATTTGCTTTCATGTGTGGATTACCTGTGAGGGGAGGAACCCAGAAAGAAGAGGCTTCCC